TATTACTTGCAACAGCTGAACTTTCAAGAGAATTTCCAAGCTAAAGGGGCTAAAAATTATTTTCAATACATTTTCCTTCTGATAAAAAGTAAACAAACAATTCAAGAGAAGAGGCAAGTAATCACAATCAAGTTTCTCAGTTACTCAAAAGAAGCAAGAACCGGGAAAACAAAATTTTCACTGGTCTGTTAGTTAGCACTTGTGAGTGGTCACTGGTAACAACAGCTCCCGGGCACTTTGGTAACGTATCAAAAATGCATAGGGTGTATATCTTTTCACCCACCAATCCCAGGAATAAAGACATACCACAAGGAGATAATCACACAGATGAGAAAGTAAACAACAAAACGTGCAAAAAGAAAGGAATGGTTACATGTACTATGATATATCCATACAATAAAGAGGCAGCCATGAAAATATGACTTACTGACATGGAATAGTACCCTCAACATATAGTTAAGGGGGGGGGCGATTACAAAACAGCACGTAGAGTATATTATCGTTTACGTAAAATACATACATGTACAAGGGTGTATGCTGTAGAGCTGTCTGAATAAATGGCCACCAACTCCCACTCATCATATGCGTTCACAGACGTTACCTCTGGGTGGTAGAATTCTGGAAGGTTTTTATCTTTTTCTTTCTACTTCTCTACATTGTTCGATTATTTACAATAATCATGTATTATTTTCCCTCAAAACAAAAAAGTTGTATTTTCATTTCAAGTAACTGTCCCTCAGTGTTCTGCAATCATTAACTCTGATAATAATATAATCATATACAACTCAAAACCAAACTCTGCCATCGAGTTCATTCCAACTTATAGGGACCCTATGTGGCAGGACTCATTTCATGAATATAAATTCAAAAACTAGGACTCAGGATTGACACAGAAATCTCGTTCAAAACAGGCAGGCAGTAAAGCTCATAATCTCAGAGGTGAGTATCAGCCAGTAAGTAAACACCTGCTGCTATTTAAATTGCCGTTAATTGTGAGGCAGGGTTCTCTCAGATTTCTACCCCTCCTCCTGAACAACAAAACAGCTTTATGTGCCCATTATTTCAGGAAAAGAAAGCTCCCATTGCACAGCAACTTAGAAATGTAAACCTATGTTCTTGACTGGAAGGTTATAATTTATATGATACTCTCCCATTTCAACATCACTTGCCAGATTTACACCTTCACCTAAAAACTCACAGTAAGCACACAGCTACATAGGACGGTACAGAAAGAAAACTCCTACCTAGCCTTGACCCCTACTGCTGCAGTTTAAAAATGAGTTTAATAGCTAGCATTTACCATGCACATACCATATACTTGATACAGAATGATGACTATTTTGCCCTCGTAACAACCCTGTGAAGTAGGCACTATCATCAACCTCCCACTTTACAGAGAATCTGAGTATGGCTCCCTTCCAACCACCACACATATATTTTCTCAACATGAATGTAGATATGCATACAAATCTATGACATTCAGGAAGAAAGTAAAAATAATCAGCCATGAAATATCTTATCGTACACACAGACTGATGAATTCATAGTATATGGAGATCCATCCCATAACAACAGAGGAGGCCAAGTTCATTTTAGAGGTGGTTGTTATTGTGTGCATAGCGACCCTATAGGACAGAGTAGAACTGCTCCACAGGGTATCCTAGGTTGTAATCTTTATGGGAACAGATCACCAGGTCTTTTCTCCCTCAGAGCAGCTGGTAGGTTCGAACTGCCGACCTTTTGTTTAGAGGTAGGAAAGTAAAAAAAACAAAAACAAAAACAAAAAACCAAGCTTTCATACTAAGGTAAACTAGGGAAAATAGAATACTCTTTAGTTAACATGCCAAGGCTTCATTCCACTTCTGGAGTTGTTTACTGATGGGAGGGGGCCGGGAAAGCGGGGAGAGAGACAGAGATACTCTAGGCTCATTCCTGTTTTAAAAGTAGGCATGAGATAAAGAGCTCTGGCTTAACGAAATAATGAAAACACAGGGGATCTAGGAAAAAGTACAACTATCTGGCAGAGCATCCTGCTGAAAATCTCTGAATTAGACAATGTGCATTTATTTCAGACATCACTCAAATGGGCACAGGAAGCCACCCATGAGGAATTCTAGACCAGCTGTATAAACCAGAGAGGCCCAGAAAGCAGAATCAGAGGGTGGAAATCCGAGGGGCAGGGCACTAGAACTAAGCCATAAACAGGCAGAGAGAGTAAAAGCAAATGATAAAAATGGCAAATGGAAGGAACATCCATAAAAAGAACACCCAAGATGTGCTGGGAAGGTAGAGCAGAGTCAATGACACCTCCAGGTGGCCTCATTTCCTCAAAGTTCTCAACCAGCTCTAAGAGCACGTGGGCAGACAAGTGAAAGTACGAGCTCTCCCAACTTCTAAAGAAAAGCCCTCCAACCCGTTACAGTCAACATAGCCAAAGCAAAACCACTGTTTCCTCCTCGTTGATGACATCCTTCTAGCCATTCCAATTTCAACGTGTCAGCCATCTTCCTCTTTGACCTTAATCTTCATTGTTCTGTGGTATATAAAAACATTTTGTGAACCAGTCTCCTTTCCATTCCTGCTATCACTGCCCTTTTTAGGCCCTATTTACTACTTCCCCGGACAATTCCTAAAAGCCTCAGACCTCTCCTCTTGAGTCCACTATGTAACTATGGAACTACACTCCGCTGCACCTAAGAGTCCACAGCACAGTGTCCGTGTTATTAACGGCTTCCTCTGATGGAAGCTTCTGAGAACAGAAACGACATCTCTCCCTGTGGTTCCACAGTTGCCTGTGTGAGACACGTACTAGAAGAACTCAAACAGACGCGGGATCATCTGATAAAAAGGGAGGGAGCAACTACCAGAAAGCAGAGATGTCCCAAACTCAAACCAGGTGTAGGTCAATATAGCGAGCATTTTATCAAGTGCCAACTAAGAAAGGAGCCCTGGTGGCACAGTGGTTAAGAGCTTGGCTGCTAGCCAAAAGGTCGGCAGTTTAAATCCACCAACTGCTCCTTGGAAACCCTATGGGACAGTTCTACTCTGTCCTACAGGGCTGCTATGAGTCAGAACCGACTCGATGGCAACGGGTTTGGTTAATTAAGAAAAACTGAATGCACAGGAAATGCTGTACAAACTGTGCTTTTATCACACTATAATATTACTTTTTAGTTATCTCTCTATAAGTACTAGTTATCAAATGTTAGTCAAGCATTTATGATTAGAAAATAAAACTCATTTCATTTCAGTTTACTTAAAAGGCATTCTCCCTAAGCTACTTTCAAAGAGGGGGTATTAAAAACTTTGAGAAAGTAAGAATAAAAGAATCTGTTTTCAGCTAATTTATCCACTGACCAGCTTTTTTGTATCCTTTCCAGTTTTACACAATCCCCTCCTTCGTGCCTCTTCAGGATGAAATGGCAAAAGCAAATAGTTTACAATAAATTTTAATAATAATTTCCTTCTGAGAAGCTGGCCCTTAAACGTTATGCATGGTACCATTTAGGGCAGTGAATTCTCAACCAGGAGCAATTCTGCCCCCAGGGGACATTTGGCAATGTCTGGAAACATATTTGGTTACTACAAGGGGGGAGGTGCTACTGACATCTAGTGGGTAGAGGCCAGGGATACTACTAAACATTCTACACTGTACAGGGCAACCCACATGGCAAAGATTTATCTGGCCCCAAATCCCAACGTTGAGAAACCCTGTTTTAGAAGTAGGTAGAAGGTAAGTTGGGATGGTTAAAAAAAAAAAAAAAAGAAACAGAAGAAGAAAGGTAAATGTTCCATAGTGTAAAATATACCATTCTTGTGTAAATGTTACTCTTTTTTTTACAGACACAAATACACAAAGTACACACTGGTACCTTAAAATCCCAGAATTACATATACCATGGGGTAGAGACGTAGTTGTAAGTAGACACTTAAGAGTCCATTAGGCCTGATGTTATCTTTCAGAGTTGTTATCTCAAGAAACTCTAAAGGCAAATAAGCTCTCTGGTTCCATGAGAGTTTGTGGGAAACACACACTGAACAAAATCAGTACAGCCAAAGGGAACAGGACAGGGCAAATCTGATTCCCTACTATGAACCACTTGTCACGAATCAGAACAGTTTATCTTCTGGCACTCCATCAAATGACAAGTTAAGAGTAATCTATCTTACTAATAAACATCAACTCCAACTTATTTGTAAATAGTTGTTAACAGACTCAAAAACAAGTCCCTTGATAGAAACTGTGATGCAGGCTAAGATCAGGTCTCTATTTTTGTTTTTTCTCCCCTCAAACTATGATAATAATTCCCATCAAAAAACGTTCTCATTAATTGGGGGGTAAAGGAAGGAGGGGGTGAGTGTTGTCTAAGATTTAAGATTCAAACCCCGTGAAGTGATAAAACACATCCAGAGGCAGCAAAAACAATTATCAGAAAAGTGCCTTAGAGTTCACAGCAAAAATTATAATCTACTTTGAAAGATCTCATCAAAGGAACGTTCTCCTTAAAGTTCAAGGGAGGTTATTTTACAACGTCCAAAGCGGCTGGAAGATCAAGTCCTGCTCACAGAGTAGGAAACTCTCTTCCTCTCTCCCCTCCAGCTTCCTCACAGCCCACGCCGCGTAGCAGATCCCAGCCCAGGAGTAGGGAAGTGCCCCTCACCACCAGGTGGATAAGAACTCGGTGCGGTGGAGACTAACTGCGCTCCTTCCAGGTGCTCGGTGAGCGACCGCAGGGGCAGCGGTGTGGACACAGTCAGACCTCCAAGAGCTCCGCGCGAGGGGGCCCGCCCCGGGTCGGTTTAGGAACCCGCTTCTCCAGGTGGAGACCCCTTGGCTTCGGATCCAGAGGAAGGATGGGGAAGTCTTTCCACTGCTGCACCACGCTGCTCCCGCTCCAAGGGAGGCAGCTCCCATCCCCGCCCTCCCGGGGCTGTGCGCCCCTCGCTTGTCCCCGGCTGTGCACCCCGGCCTATCCTCGTGCGCCTCCGCGTCCACGTACCTCGTCCAGGAACTTGGTCACGTCGTAGACTTTGTGGTGCAGGATGACCCAGGTGCTCTTGGCGTGGTTGTGCTTCTTGATCTCGTCTAGGGTGTAGTACTTCACGGCCTTGTCCGACGGCTCAGCCATCTCGAAAATGCGAACCCGCGCCCCCACACGCACCAACCTCCGCGCACAACAGAGTTACTCAGCCACTCCGGCCGGACACCCCGCGCCCCTCTCCGGAAAAGGCGCAGTGGCCGCGTGGAGCGGGGCGGCCGGGGGCAGAGCCCGCGCTGATTGGTCGCGCCGCTTGCCAGTGGAGGGCGCCCCGCCCCTCGGGCACGCCCCGTCCCAACCTGCGCTGGCGGCTGATTGGCTGCGGCCGGGGGCGGGGCATGCCGGAGGCGGGGCATGCCGGAGGTTACGCAGCTGCCGGAGAGAGCGGATGAAACGGCTCGCGCGGCTGCCGGCGGAGGGCTAGGGCTCTAAGGCTTGGCCGCGTTTGCCAATTAGTTTGACGCGGAAGAAAAAGGGCGGGGCAGGGGCGGCCCGAGCAAAGCGCGTGGTGCTGAAGTCCACCTGGTGATGGGCCACCTCGGCCTGTAACCGCGGCGGCGTGTCCCAAACAAGTCCATCCGGTCGTGCTCCGACCTTACTGTGCAGCCAAATGAGTTACACTCCAAGTGCCAAAAAAAACGGGCACGGTGGGTAAGCGCTTAGCATACACATAAAACACAAGAGGGCATCCTGGGCTAAAACTACAGAGTACGTTATAAAACAATTTCATAAGTCAAGCTCTATGAAACAAATGTGTTACCCAAAATAACCTTTTATAAAGTACACTTTTACTAATTTTGCTTATCTGCCTTCCACCCGGGCTTTGGGCTGCCTAGTTCTTGCAGGAAAAAAATAGGACATTTGAAATTTTTTTTTATATAAAAATCAAAAACTACCAAATTATTCCTGTAACTCTGAGGTAGCTTCTCCGCTGTTGACCACTTACTAGGCAAGCATTTATGTATTAGTTATGTATCTTGTCTCAATAGTATATTGTTTAGGGTAAATCATAAATTATCTCCATCATTTGACTTCATTATTAACAGCAGTTGGAATAGTCTGGAAGAATACCTCCCCAGCCAGGCACTCTCTTCCTCTCCTTACAAGATAAACTATCACACATGAAAAATTACCAATGAAAAAAAAGAATTATCTGTGTGAGATCAAATTGACAACAGCAACTCAAAGGGTTTGATGGGAAGCCTAGGGGGCAGTGAGTTGAAGATAATGGTGATGGAATACTTTGGAAAAGGATAGTGAGAATAGCAGCACAACTGGAAGAATGTAATTAATGTCACTGAATTGTACAGGTAGAAATTTTTGAAATAGTGTATCTTTGGCTATGTATATTTTCACAAAAAAAAAAGGTCAAGAAGGGAGAGCGGTGACATGTCGTGCGGTTGTTAACCAATGTCATAACACAATATGTGCACTGACTGTTTAATGAGAAACTGTTCTGTAAACCTTCATCTAAAGTACAATTTTTTTTTTTTTATTATTACAAATGTTTGGAAAAAATCAGGAAAAATTCCAGCCTATTAAGTCATTAGGGAGGCTGTTATATGCAACCTAACACCTCAAGGGATTTGGTTCCTTGGGTTGCAGGTTTAGGGTCAAGGTTTCATGGGACATTCCAGTTAATTAGCCTAATAACGTGTGTCGTGCTTCAGTTCTATCTCCTAGTTACTGTGTAGTGCCTGGGGTCTTAAAAGCTTGCAAGCAGCCATCCAAAGCACAACAATTGGTCTCTATTTGCAAGAGAGAAAGGAGAAAGGATGTGGAATGTGTGGCTAATTGTCTCCATAAACAATTACCTCCTTTGCCATGAGACCAGAAGAATGGATGGTGCCCAGCTACCATTACTGAACATTATGATCAAAGATTCCATAGAAGAATCCTGAGGAAAAGGGGGAAAATGCACAACAGAACTTCAAATTCTCATGGACTCCAGACTTTCTGGAGCCATGGAGGATGGATGAACCCCTGAAACTATTGCCCTGAGATAATCTTGAAACTTTATACCAAAAATATCCCCTGAAGTCTTAAAACCAAGCAATAATTTAGTTTAACTAGTAAAAAATGTCTGCCTTGAGCATTATGCTTTTTTAAGAACTATCTATATGGGATTAAATTGACAACAGCAACTGGAAAGGTTAGAGAGGAAGCTCTGGGCGGTGAGTTTTTGTTAACAGTGGAAAAGGAGGGTGAGAATGGTTGCACAACACAGAATGTAATCAATGTCACTGAATTGTACATGTAGAAACTTGAATTGGTATCTGTTTTGCTGTGTATATTCTTAACAACCAAATAAATAAAATTTAGAAAAAAAAAAAAAAAAGCCATTAGATACGTTGCTATTAAGGCCCTTTACAGCAATGGTAGTTAATTGCAAAAAGAACTGCACAACAGGTTACACATGTATGTCACCCTCCCAGGTGACTCAGCACAATTCTAGCACATATTAGGTGCACGATGAATGTTAGTTCCCTTTTCTCCCAGCTTACATCCTCCATAGGATAAATGGCCATGGAGAAGAAAGCATCTTTTGAAGCATTCCAAATATTTATTTATTTTTTTACTTTCTCTCTTTTTCATGTTAAGCAAGCATTTGCAAGTTTTAACACTGGTTTCAGAGGTATTTCTAAGGACTTGGTGGCACAGTGGTTAAGAGCTCAGCTGCTAAACAAAAAGTCAGCAGTTTGAATCCATCAGCAACTCCTTAGAAACCCTATGGAGCAGTCCTACTCTTCACCAACTCAATGGCAACAGGTTTAAGTAGTGTTAACAACAAAATAACGTAAGTTATTTGCGCTATAAAACTAACCAGTTGTGGTTCATGTATAATATATAAGTATTTGATTACATGTCAACAAAAACATAATGTAGAAATGATTTCTAAGAAAGTTCTATACTTTGTAAACATTTTATTTTTAAATAATTATATTGTAGATTCAGAGTAAGTTACAAAGATAGCAGAGAGGTATACCCTTCACCCAGTTTGCCCAATGGTTACATCTTATGTAACTGTAGTATAATATCAAAACCAGGAAACTGACATTGTTCCAATGTGTGTGTATAGTTATGTTATTTTATCACATATGTAGATTTGTGCAACCACTACCAATCAAGCTACAGAGCTTTCCATCAGCACAGAGAACTCCCTTGTGCTGCCTCTTTATAGTCACCCACAACCCCACTATCCCTAACCTCTGGCAACTACTAATCTCTTTTCCATCTCTATAATGTTGTCATTTTGAGAGTGTTTTATAAATGGAATTATGCAGTATGTAACCTTTTGAGATTGACCTTTTTTCACTTAGCATAGTGCCCTTGAGCCCTGGTGGCAAAGTGGTTAAGACCTCGGCTGCTAACCAAAAGGTTGACTGTTTGAACTCCCCAGCTGCTCCACAGGAGAAAGATGTGGCGGTCTGCTTCCATAAAGATTTATAGCCTGGGAAACACTGTGAGGCAGTTCTACTCTGTCCTACAGGGTTGTTATGAGTCAGAATGGACTTGATGGTAATGGGGTTTAGTATGGGGTCAGCCAAAATGCCCATGAGAAGCAAGGATGGCAAGACTTCGTCCCACATACTTTGGACATGTTATCAGGAGGGACCAGTCCCTAGAGAAGGACATCATGACTGGTAAAGTAGAAGGTCAGAAAAAAAGAGGAAGACCCTCAACAACTTAGATTGATACAGTGGCTGCAACAATGGGCTCAAGCATAACAACAATTTTAAGAATGGTGCAGGACCAGGCAGTGTTTTGTTCTGTTTACATAGGGTCGTTATGAGTCAGAACTGACTCATCAGCACCTAACAAAAATGCTATTGCTAATATTTTGTTAAGAATTTTTGCATCTGTATTCATGAGAGATACTGGTGTGTAGTTTTCTTTTTTAACACTGTTATGTATATAGTAACAGAAATACCGGCTGATTTGGGAAATCATCCCTCGTCTTCTATTTTCTGGAAGAGACTGTGTAGAATTGGTGTTAATTCTTCTTTAAAGGTTTGGTAGAATTTTCCAGTCAAACTAGTGGGCCTGGAGAATTCTTTTTCAGGAGTTTTTTAACTATGAATTCAATTGCCTTAATAGTTATTAAAAAAAAAAAAAAAAACCTAAAACCCTTTGCTTCAAGTCGATTCCAACTCATAGCAACCCTAGAGGACAGAGTAGAACTGCCCCACAGGGTTTCCAACTAGTGGCTGGTGGATTTGAACTGCCGACCTTTTGGTTAGCAGCCAAGTTAACCACTGCACCACCAGTGCTCCTTAATAGTTATAGGGCTATTCAAATTATTTGTTTCATATTGGGTGAGTCATGGTAGTTTGTACTTTTTAAGGAATTGGTCCATTTCATCTAACTTGTCAAATTTCATATGTATAGAGTTGTTGGTAGTATTCCATTATGATCCTTTTGATGTCTACGGGGTCTGTAGTATCCCTTGCTTAATTCGTGATATTAATTTGTGACTTCCCTTTTTTTCTTTGCCTGATTTGCTAGAGATATGTCAACTGTATTGAACTTTTCAAAGAACGAGCTTTTTGTTTATCGACTTTTCTCTATTGTACTGCTTTTTTTCAATTTCACTGATGTCTGCTGTTATCTTTATTATTTCCTTCCCTCTGCTTGCTTTGGGTTTATTTTCCTCTTCTTTTTCCAACTTCCTGAGGTCCAGTTTAGATTACTGATCTGAGATTTTTCCTTTTTTCTAATGCATGCACTCAGTGCTAGGAATTTCCTATCCTTAAAAAAAAGTAAACCAGATGATGCTATTTCCCTAAAAGTTATCAGGACTGCCAAATCTCCCCCATAACTTCTAGCAGAGCAATCAGTTTCCTGAGTGGGTGACTACCTCTATATCCAATATCAGGGTAGCTTCAGATTTTAGTCCTAGTTCCAAAGAACTCCAGAAGTGGATAAAAGCAAAACTTTGGCACCAGTTACCTGGATCCTAACCCTGGTTTTGTGACATCAGATGCATAACTCTGAGCTAGTCAGTTAACTGTTCTAAGTCACTTGCTTATAAAATGCTTAGCACAGTGCTGGCATATAGAAAGAAATTAATACATTTTAGCTAGTACTATTATTAATACTCAACAAGCCTTCCTTATTCCAAAATACAGGTATAGCAAAGAAATATCCTATCTGGCAGGTGCATCAACGTAAACTAGTAAATCTAGGCAAATTTAAAGACAAATAAACCTGAGAAATTGAAGGAACACAAATATTTACAAACCTCCTCCTGAATTCCTTACAGCAATGAAGTTTATATAAACACTTAGAAAGCCAACTCTACTCCTAAAGTTACTCAGGCAAAAATATACTGTAAAAATCACCCAGCCTGCTCTTCCACTCTAAGACAAAAGT